AGGATAAGCAGTAGAATTCTTTTTAAAGAGTAATTAAGAGCAATGACTTATTTCTGCTAAATTCTGAAAGATTTTTTCATCATTTTGAACAATTTTAAGTAGCATGGTCTTGTTCTATTCCATTGTTAAACATTCTCAAAATCCAGATCGTTGTAAGCTCCTGTGGTTGCATGTATCATCCCAGCATTCTCAGAGGCTGAGGCAGGAGGATCACAAATTCGGACCCACCCTGGGCAATTTAGAACTCTTGTGAGACCCTGTCTCAAAATAAAAAAGGCTAAGCATGCAGCTCAGTGGGAAGCCTTGCATTCATCCCCCTTTCCCACCCAGGAAAAAAATTCACATCTTTGTGGAGAACTGTAAATTACCTATCCAATAATCATTCTTCTTTCCTTCTTTAAAAAACATCTAGATAATAAACAAGGTATTGATAGATTGTAATGAGAACACTGCTGTCAGGATGAGGGAAAGGCAATAAAATCATAAATGCCAACCTTGACACTATTGAGTTACTATATGAATAAAAGTAGCCATCTTCTCAGCCTTATTATGGTAGAAAAAAATAATCTCATGAATGATACTGTGAGACAGGTATTCTGTTATGTGCAGCCAATGATCCATAACTGTTTAAACAGCATGTTTTCTTTTGCATATCAATCCCAAGGCCCATAATTTTACTTCTGGGGTACATTAAATAGTAACATCAAAAAAAAATAAAACTGATGAGGAACAAGTGATTGCCCCCTAGTTTTAATCCTTCTGAATATTCTTCTCACTAAAGAAAAGATGGTTGCTTTCTCAGGTGGTGCACTAATGTCTGAAGCTTTCCCAGTTGGGCAATATATGCTGTTGATTCTTAAAGCTTTCTAGAGTCCTTGCTATTGCTCCACTCCTATGGATCCACTTGCATTGTTGTCCACAACCTCTACTGTAGGGCTCTGACTCTGTGGCAAACTTCTGTCTGGCCTCCTAGGCTTTCCTTTGGGATCTGCCATTTCCTTTGCAAACTGCCATTGTACTCTGCATACCTATAGAACCAGCACCAGGTGGATGCTACCAAGTTCTGCTGCTGGCAAGGACCAGTACCTGTACCTGCTTGAATCATGGCTGCAGCAGCTGCAGAGCACTTCACCAAAAAGCCAGAATCTCAAGGTGTCCCTCTGCAGTAAGCACGTGGAGGAGCCCAGGGCCTTTCCCTGAAATTGTTCTGCCCTCAGAAGGCCTTTGAGCCTGTCCTAGTAGGAGAGGCAGCCTCCCGGATTTCTGAGATGCCCTCTGAGCCTCTTTCTCACCGTCTTGATCCAAAGTAGCTGGCTTCCTTTGATCCAGGCTGATCTTGCTTGCAAGCAGTAGCTCAGCTGTACAGTTATTTGGTCACTTTCTCCCTGTTAGACTGCAAATTTTCAAAATTTTTTTGCTCTATTTCCATTTGCTCCCAAGTCTCACTGTAAATCTGACTAAAAAAAGTAATACATATGCTGAAGACTGCTGTACAGCTTTAAAATTTTTTCCACCATCTTTCTTAAAGTAGGCTTTCCTTACAACTCTAGGGTGTGGGCACAATACAGCCTAGTTCTCTTCAACAGTATAGTGAGGATGACCTTTACTCCAGTTTTCAGTTGGATCTTTATTTCCATCTGAGACTAATTCTTTACTCTGGTCTTCTCAGTCCTCACCTGAGCCATCTGTGCTCCTCTTTTTACAGTACTCTAGTCTTTTTTCTAACCTGCTCCTCCAAACTCTTCCCATCTCTGCTTGTTATACAGTTCCAAAATAGCTTTCTATTTTCAAATATGGCAATGACCCAACTCCTCAGTTTACAATTTTCTGTATTAGCCCATTACTAATGAAATACCATAGTAAAATATCTGAGTCTGAGCGCTGAAGGCTCAGTGTATGGGGTCAACAGTGGCTCTTCTGTAGGGAGGACTCATGGCATTACAGTGGCAGGAGTGGACGTGAGAAGGAAGAGATAATATGGCAAGACAGGAAGCCAGAGTCTTCTTTTTAAATAACAACTCACTCTCTAGAGAACTAACTGGAGTCCCTTGAGCACTAAGTCATTCCTTTCCTAGGGCAACACCTCCCATGACTTCTCTAGGCTCTGGTTCTTTAAAGGTCCCATCACCTCTTGACATTACCACACTAGGGACCAACCTTCTAATGCATGAAGTCTTGAGACTCAAACCACAGCACCTAATATAATTTTTTTTTTGGTATCAGAGATCGAAGTCAGGACCTTGCACTTTTGAGGCAGGCACGGTGCCACTGAGCTAAATCCCCAGCCTATAATTTGTTTTTGTTCCATGTTTTCAAAAGAAATTTCTCTGAAAGTACTCCAGTTATTGGCTTCAGGTAATGAATAGAATGTTATGGTTTTCAGTAGCCTAATTAAGAGTCAAATAAATATTCATACCTACTTCTGTGACACCAAGATTTTGTCTAGAGGGTAATACCCCAAAGTAGCTTCTATAGAAAATTATTTGCAGCATTACAGTGTAGATATTTTAAAAAATTAAAATGGAAGAGCCTCAGTGAAAACATTTTGCTCTGGGGTATTAAAAAAGATTTATTAATCAAAATATTTCTTCTGGAATATGTATGGAAATGTTTGAGAGAATCTCATTCTAATGAAGCTGGATTATGGGCAAGGGGAAGGCTCTGGATTCTTAGTTTGATCCTGAAGATTTGTTTATTCTTGAAGATTAATACCATTCTGTCTTGGTAATAAGCACAAGTAATATTGTATCCAGACAAGCTCTAGTTTAACTGAGAACTTTATCTGCTTTTCAGTTACTTCACACTCTGATGAGAACAAAATCATGATAGAAACCACAGACGGATGCTGAGCAAAATGTCAGACCATACTATCAGAATGCAAATATTGTTTTAATATATCCAGTACTAGTATAGCCAAGCACTTTAAGATAGGAAGTAGAAGAAAATCTGAGTATTAATCAGTCACTTGGACGTAGTGTTGGAGTCCATATGTTAAGGGAGGTAACCATAGTTAAACACCTCTTGCCCTGGGATAAGATCCCAAGAATTATAGCCAAAAAAATGAGAATATAGACTAAAATATCATCTTGTCTCAGAAATACTCAAGCATTAGTTCAGAACTGTTGGCACCCGTGAGCACCTAATAGAAGGAAATGAAGCTCCTCTCCTGAGAACATTATCCAGTGGTTCAAATTATTTCTTTAATAAGGTTTTCAAATAAAATGAACACCAAACATCAAAGATAATGGATGCAAAAAAGAGTCAAGTGTGAGTCAGCACCAGCAGAAACAATAGACAAACAAAACAGACTATAAGAACCATAGTCTGAAAATACTATCCTCAGTATGTTCATGGAAGAAAAGGTCAAGCTTTTAAATTTTGTCAACTTGGAACTAAGTGACGTTTAGGATTTAAAAAAGAATGATGCAGGAATTATAAACTAAAAAATATAATAAAAGTTAAAAACTATAGATGAAGGCCGGGGATTTAGCTCAGTGGCACCCTGCTGGGTAAACACAGGTCCTAAGTTCGATTCCCCGTGCCAGAGGGGGAAAAAACCCTGTAGATGAATTCTAGAGCCGACTAAGCACACCTAAAAGGAGAATGCATGATGGCAAGTTAAGCAATCCACAATGAAGAAAGGAGACACAAACTGAAGATCATGCAGGAAACATGAAGGATAGAGTGGGGGAGGGCTATGTTTACTGGAGTTACAGAAATGGAAAAGAGAATAAAGAAAGAAGTGATATGTAAAGACATCATAGCCTAAAATTCCTGAGAATTGATTAGATATTAATCTGTAATCTAAGAAGAACAATGAAGTGTAAGCAGGATTTTTTTAAAAAATAAAAGGTATTTACTTTTTGCCTATGTTTGAGTTGCAGTGTAGATGGCATTTTACATTTAGAAAAATCTATAATTTACTAAGAGATTTTTAAAACATCTATTGTCTGAAATATATTTTTCTTTAACCAGTGAGGTTGTTAAACAGGGTATATCTGCTGATAAATAATGAAGCTCAGTAACTAGCGGAAGGGTAGCCACTCCCATTCTATCCCGCCCTTCACACGCACGCGTGCACGCACGTACATACATGCTTACGCGACCACACACACGTACACGCGTGCACACACATCTGCAACACAGGCGCACATGCACCACGTATGGGCGTGTAGATGGCTCAAGAAATCCGACTTCTCTGTCCCCTCACGCTACCTAGAGCTAAAACTGCCAAGTCTCTGAGGAGTGGTCAAACGGACATGGTGTGGGTTGGGTCCCCCCCTTTAAATATACTAAACTCCGCCCTTCTCCAAATCCATTTGAAAATTGGAAAGGTTAGGAGTGCAGGCGAAAAACAGCCCTGTAATTGTCAACCAGTCAGTTGACATTGGTGAGGAGGACCTGTCAGGGTCCAGAAATCGGGATGGGCGCTTCCTGTATATTCCCAGCAGGCCCCCACTTAATTTGGTCCCTTAACAACTGTCAAGCCGAGATGGAGCTGCAGGACCTCAGGACCCGAAGAGCTCCAGGTCGCCTAATTTTCCTCGGTTCAGGTTTCCCACAAAAGCATGGTCACACCAAAAACTTTTTCCACAAATACAAAAAGGTTTCCAAAACTTTTTCCCACAGGCTCGCTTATCTCGCCCTCCCCGATCACAATTTATGCTTCTCAGGAGTGGGCTAACTTCGTCTGAACAGCAACTCTGCGAGATAGGAGCTAAGCAGTTTATTTTCCCCACAGTAAGAGAAGAGAAAACACCGTAAAACCCTAACCTCACTCTCCCGTTTGCCTAGCTCTTAAAAGGGAAGAAAAAAAAACAAAACAACTGTCGGCCGGTTGCCGCGCAAAACATGCTGGGATGAACAGTTCACTCCGGGCACGAAGCTTGAACGCAGCACCAGTTGGATCTCACAGAGGACTACGATTCCCGCCGTGCCTCGGGGCAGAGTGGAAGGGGCGGGGAGACAGACGGCAAGTCTTGTTTGCGCAGGTCCAGGAGACTGAGGGAGGCGGAGGCGCAGAGGTCCAAGTGCTGAAGTCTCCATGTGACAGTGAGCGGGATCCCCTCTCCGAGCACCGTTCGACTGTGGGTAGCGGCCACAAGAACCGTGCACTGTTTCAGCTCCGACCCAGACCACCAGGCCGAGGACACTCGGTGTTTGGCTGTGCGACCGCCGAACTTGGGGTGCAGACTGAGTCGCCGCCGCCGGGAAGGATTCCGGGGACCTGGCGGAGAGAGGCGGAGCGGCGCGCCGAGCGGGGATTTCTGTCAGCGCCGGCGCTCCTGAGGACCGAGGCATGAACGGCTTCACGCCGGAGGAGATGAGCCGCGGCGGGGACGCGGCCGCTGCTGTGGCCGCAGTGGTTGCAGCTGCGGCCGCTGCCGCCGCCTCGGCTGGAAACGGGAACGGGGCGGGCACCGGGGCCGAGACTCCGGGCGCCGGAGCGGTCTCGGCGGCGGGGCCCCCGGGACCGGCTGGGCCGGGCCCCGGGCAGCTGTGCTGTCTGCGGGAGGACGGGGAGCGGTGCAGCCGAGCAGCGGGCAACGCCAGCTTCAGCAAGAGAATCCAGAAGAGCATCTCCCAGAAGAAGGTGAAGATCGAGCTGGACAAGAGCGTAAGTGAGGGCGGGACTGCCCCTCCCTGCCCGCCCCCGCAGAGCTCCAGTGGCTGGGCATAGCCAGAGGTTGTTGGCGGGGCTCAGGAGTCCCCCAGCCCCGGTTGCAGTGCGGGCTCCTCGTGGGTCCTTTTAGTGGCATGCAAACAACAAAGTCGCTGCAACTCCTGTCGCCGCCCCCAGCGCTGGCACACGCCATGGTTCCAGTCTCCTCCGCCCCACCCCGACCCCGCTGCCCCGGTCTCTCCTGCACTGTCTTCCTTCTTCCTCCTTTGCTGTGATCTGGAAACGAAACAAAGGAGACCGCCCGCCGCACGGAGGGCCTGGGGTAGTTTTCTTGTAGCCCGACAGCCCCTTCTAGAATGGAGGCCCCTTTGTTTTGCTGCCCGAGCTGTTTATTGGCCCCTGGGAGTAGTAGATTCTCACGTCTGGTAAAAGTGGAGTCCTGCAGGATCTTACACCACAGTTAAGGGAGATCCTGTTCTTTTCAGTGGTTTGTCCCCGTCTTCCAAACAGAGAGAGGAAGCCGAGCTCACCGCCGCCTGGCCGGGCGCCGGGTCCTACAGTGTTTGCCTTGTCCGCTCTTAGGGCAGCTGCTGCTAGCCGTGGGGAGCGCTTAAGCCTCTGCGGTTTCGCGGTCCGCGTGGCAGCCATCGGGATTTCTTTTTCCGTCCTTTCGCACGTCCATTTGTTGTTGTTGTTGTTGTTTTTAATAATCTGTAGGGTTTTTAGAAAGAACCTTGCTCCTTTTTGGAGCTCTGGCTGGTAGCGAATGAATCAAGATACACAACCTAGCACAAGTCCTGCATTTAAAAAAAAAAAAAAAGCCTATTAAGTCAGCCTTTGTTTGTATTTTTAAAAGAAGTTAACTGTCAATATATGAAACTCAATATTTAATGTCAGTGAAGCTCTCGGGAGTATATTGAAAGGTTTTTAAAGTTTATTTGTGACACTTTGCTTGTTTAAGCAGTAGTTCTTCAGTGTTGCTCATGAGAAACTTTTCATGTGAACAAGAACAATTTCAGATTGCTTTAATTGGAAAAATGAATTATGGATACATTCACTTAGAACTCGGTAAAGTTAGTAACTGAAATTTAAATATAGTTGAAATATAAATTCAGTAGGTCATTTGTAAAAGGGCATAGTTTGTATCAGGGATATATTTGACTATTAAATTAGAGAGCGTACACTACTAAAATATGCTTTCTAAAACATTTCTTTAGAGAAGATGCTATGAAATAGCAAAATTGTGGGCCACATCTTTTTACTTGTCAGGTAAAAACCTAGCATGAACTAATTCAGGTCACCCTCACTGCAATTTGATTACAAAACCCAAAGGACTGGAATTTCTCTTTCTCCTCCTCTGCCTCCCTCCCCTAACAGGTACCACCCCTTCCTCTAAAGCCCCGCCCTCCCTGTCCTCCTAACTGTACTGCCAGACATCTCATGTTTTAACAGGGTGCAGGATTTGAGTAGAAAGAAGTATGCCATTGTATTAACAATGGCCTGCTTTGACTTTATTTTTAGTAATTCACTGTGACCTATGCACTTTACAGGTAAGTAGACACATTTCATAAGCAGCCTGTAAAATTTTTCTGTTCCAGGCGAGGCATCTTTACATTTGTGATTATCATAAAAACTTAATTCAGAGTGTTCGAAACAGAAGAAAGAGAAAAGGGAGTGATGACGATGGAGGTGACTCACCAGTTCAAGAGATTGATACTCCAGAGGTAGATGAAAGCTTTTGTATGTTAAATGTAAATCATAGGTTTTTCAATTTGAAACTGTTATAAAAACATGAACAGATTTTTTTTAATGTTGAAAGCAACTGAGAAATCTAAAAATGAAAGCAAATTTATATATAATCAGTTAATATCCATTTACACAAGTTCAATTGGTATATTCATTTATACGATTGGAATGCTACAATTTGGATTGTGATGCTGGGTGCCATGGCACAGGCCTGTAATCCCAGCACTCAGGAGGCAGAGACAGAAGGATCGCACACACACCCCCCCCCCCAAATTTGAGGCCAGCCTGGGCTACATAGTGAGTTCAAGAGACCCTGTCTCAAAAAAAAAGAGAGAATCATGTACAATTTCAATTTTGAGAATTTGAATTCTTAGAGGTCTGTTGTCATATAACTTCCTTGTTTTTGCTTTCAGTTTATGATTGCCCACAAAAAATTAAAATGTTTTATAATTTATAGGTTTGATTATATAAGGCTTTTTAAACAATGAAATTAAATTTTTATTTTGCTGAAGTTGAACTGTTTGCTGTTATACATATTAGTGACAAACTTTCGACAAATTATGTGAACTAATTCATACATGTTAATTTTTTCTAGGTTGATTTATACCAATTACAAGTAAATACACTTAGAAGATACAAAAGACACTTCAAGCTACCAACCAGACCAGGACTTAATAAAGCACAACTTGTTGAGGTAAATATGAGTTTTAAGCTATTTACAATTTAAATGAACTTGTTCATACAAACAAGGGTTCATTAAATACTAATAAAATTATTTATTAGTCTATTATTAGTATTCTAACAGTACATTTTAGTGAGAAAAATAAAAGTGGCATATCCTGTAATTCCAGCCTTAGGGGAGGCTGAGGTAGGACAATCACAACTGTGAGCCCAGCCTGTACAGTAGGGACTTACTGAGACTGTTTCAAAACAAAGGCAGGGGATGTAGGCCCCATGGCTCAATCCCCAGTACACACACACCCACACACACACACACAAGAAAAGAAGGAAAGAAAGAGAAAGAAAAGAAAAAAGAAAAGAAAAAAATCTGTTGAAGAATCTAGTTGCCTAAAAACGTTTGTCTACCACTTAGGAAATTTCTTTATATACTGACTCCTTAATAGATTATATTTAGATTGTGTACAGCATCTTCTAAGAATGGTTTTCAAAATGTTGAAATTCCATTTAATCAATAAATATTTATTGAACACTTAATTGACATAATAAATTAGCTTTAACGTCTGTGTTAGGATTTTTAAAGTTTCTGCTAGAATAGGCCTATAAATGAGCCCCTAAAAATTATTTCCATATGCAAGGTTTTACTTCTATTCTGCTTTGATATAAGACTTGTAGTGCTTTGGTAAGTTTTGAAAACTTTACTTGTTATGTATATTTGTGTTCTTAGAACCAAAAAAATCTGTGTATGTTATTAGGATGTCTATAGATTTATGCATTTGTATTTTAATCAAATTTAAAATTTTAATATTTAACTACTATAACGAATAGAAAAGTGAATATATAAATCAGTGTTCTCATATTCTTCAAAAATGTGCATGTAAAATAAGATAAAAGATAGCTGGCAAGGTGGCACTTACCTGTGATCCCAGCACTCAGGAGACTGAGGCAGGAGGGTCACAAGTTTGATACCAGCTGGGGGTATATAGCAAGTTCAAGACTGACTTGAACTACATAGTGAGTCAAAAAACAAAAAAAAATCAAACATAAATAAGTTACAAATTTTTGGCAGAATGCCCCTTAAGATTGTTAAAACCCAGTATATTCTTCAACCAGAATTCCTATTCCATTTCTTGCCTGGGTAACAAAAATATAATTTTTTTAAAGTTTGATTTTGGTATTGTACACCATATGAATATATAGATATTGCCTACCATGATGAAATGTATCAGACACTACTCTAGTGAAATCACCTTTGCTCTCCAACAAATGAGAATCAAAGAACTGATTACTTTTTTGTTGTTGTTGTTTTGTTTTGTTTTGTTTTTGGTACCGGGGATCAAACTCGGGACCTTGTGCTTGCGAGACAGGCAACAGAACCACTGAGCTAAATCCCCGGCCCAGAACTGATTACTTTTAAATGTTACATAATCTGACTTTCTGAAAACCATTGTATTATTTTCAAGCCTTTTTTTTTCTTTTCGGTACTGGGGATTGAACCTCGAACCTTCACCCTGAGCTACATTCACAACCCTTTTTCATTTTTTTTTAAATTTTGAGACAAGGTCTCACTAAATCGCTGTTTCCAAATTTGCCATCTTCCTGCCTTCACAGAATGCTGGCCTTACAGGAGTGCACCACCTTGACCAGCTTCTGCAGCAGTTTTTTTCTTTTTTTCTTAAAAAATATAGACTACATATGCACATCAGCACCCCGGTTCACTCTTATTCTTCTGCTCATAAGTGGAGTGCACATGTTAAATGACAAGCACCTGGGCATGGTGATACACACTGGTAATCCCTGCACTCGGAGTGTCCAGCCAAGCCTGGACAATCTAGCTACTTAACAAGACTGTCTCAGGAAAAGAAGAAAAAAAAAAGGGGGCTGAAATGTAGCTCAGGGGGAGGGCCCTAGGTTCAATGTGTAGTACAAAAAGAAAAAAAAGTTTAAAAAGACAAGCAATTAAATAGTCTCACAGTCATCAGTGAATTTTCCTGTCTTTCTCTTTTCATTTTCCATTCATAATTTTTCTGAAAAAATTTTGAGGAGCCTTTACAAAAAATACTGCCAAGGAATCAATGAATGGCTATAACTTGGAACAATGATACTTATATTTTGTGGTTTTTTCTTTAGTATCAAAATGTTTTCATCTTCATATTTATTCTTCCTAGTATTATGTGTGTGGACCCTTCTATTTTAGCTGATGGATATTTAAAGCGTAAAATGAAAACATTTGCTTTGTAATCTAGTTCCAATTGTAAATATAAAAGGACACATACATCTAATCAATGTATATTTGAGTGGGCAGAAGGATACTTTGAAATCAAACTGTCTTTTGTTCAAAACATCTTTTATTCTTATGTGTTTTTTCTCCTGTTGGTGTTTTGTTAATTTTGTTAATTAAATAAAATTTAATTTATAAAAAAATCTTTTATCATGTAGCACTTTTAATGAAACAGTATCTTTTACCTAGTTTATGAAGTCTGTTATATCTAAAATTTAATTTCCTCAATTTTTTTTTTCTTTATAGATAGTGGGTTGCCACTTTAGGTCTATTCCAGTGAATGAAAAAGACACCTTAACTTATTTCATCTACTCAGTGAAGAATGACAAGAGCAAATCAGATCTCAAGGTTGATAGTGGTGTTCACTAGGGCGTGATACTTGGATGTTCAGATGTTAAGACTGTTTCCTGGTTTTCACATGTAGAAATGTTCCTTGTGTATTTTTTCTAAGGAGAATTTTCTCTGGTTTTATTTTCTTTGTTTCTGACTAATAATTAGTTGGAAACTCATAAACAATGAGCTTCCTAGATTAAAAATATTTTAAATAAAGGTTATTACTATTATAGTTGCTTCAGTGTATTTATTTTGTGAAATTTGATATTTTCTTTTCAACTGACTTTTTAGGAATCAGTATTAACTGAGATTTTAATGTAAAGATCTTCGTTTTTTTAACCCAATTTTTAAAAATTAACAAGGAGAAATAACAAATGTGAAATGTTTGTTTTCTTTGGTACAATCTGATTTGAAATTAAGGCTATCTTAAGTAACATTTTTTAAATGCTTTATAGTGTTAGATTTGAAAAATAGACTTCCACTGATGCAACTTTCTAAATTTCTCTTCATCATTGTTACTTGATGAAGTATCAGCAAGAATAGTTTGTATGCCCACCTCTTTCCAAAGAAGTTTTAATGTGCTAGCAAAGGTAAATGTTGAAAGTTGAAATAAGAACATAAATAGTTGTTTTTTAAGAATTTTGTCTTACTGAAAAGACCTTTTTTTCCCGGTACCAGGGATCAAACTCAGGACCTTGTGCTTGCAAGGCAAGCACGATGCCACTGAGCTACATCCCCAGGTAGAAAAGATATTTATGTGACATGAGAATAGAAAATAGCTCTGCAGTGCCTCTTTAATTTTTAGTCATGTTCTATGTTGTTTATATTACAAATAAAAACTGAACTTTGAGAGTGCTAGATAAGCTCTTCATTAAAATTTTGGTCATATGTATCTGACTTGATTTATATTTCTGTTTTCCTGCTTTTTCTTCTCTCTCTCTCTTTCAGTCTTGGGGATTGAACCCAGGGCCTTTGTACTGGGCTACATCCCCAGCCCCGTTTTGAATTGTTTATTTTGACATCTGACATCCAGCCTTGCTAAGTTTCCCAGGCTGTGCTCAAACATGTGATGCTCCTGCCTCAGCCTCCCAGAGTTCTGCTATACTTCTTTTTATGTTTCATTCTCTATGAGGTTTGTTTTTTGGGTTTTTTTTTTTAATCATTTTTGACTTCTACCTTTTCTGTGATTGTACTGCTTAACTAAATTCTTAAAATTATAAATCAGATTTATACCTTATGACATAAAAAAAATACAAAACAACAGCTCCAGTAAAATGTTTTGACTTTGGCTGTAAATATTAGGCTGGACATGGATGAGACCATTAATCTAGCTCAAGGTTTGTCAAGGATAACATTTGGACCTAGTAATTCTCTGTTGTGGGAAGCTTTGCTGTGTTGCAGAAACATCTAGGAAATATGGTGAACAGTAAAGCAGCTGGTCTGTTCTTGCTTGACCATTTAAAAATGTATGTTTTATTGATATGCAGAAAGCTGGGATAATTAGTGTTATAGAAACCTCGTTTCTGGTATTCTAGAAATCTCTGTGACAGGTTTTTTTCTTAACTACTTGAAAATGAACCACATGGCTACAAGATGTAGTGATTTATTTCAAGAAAGTTTTACTTACACTAGATAGAGTGCTCGCTCCCTTTGGCAGCACATACACTAAAATTGGAATGACACTAGGTAGATAGATAGATAGATAGATAGATAGATAGATAGATAGATAGAGTTACAGCCTTAGGCCATTTTTCATCTTTTTATTTTCTTGTGAGAAGATCTTGCTAAATTGCCAAAGTTGGGCTCAAACTTGATATCCGCCTGTCTCAACAACCTGAGTAACTGCAACTACAGTGCACCACCACATCTGGCCACATTTTGTATTTTTGCCTAATCCATAAAGACTTAATTTTTAATAAAAATTTATAGGCTTAATTTTTAATAAAAATTTGTAGGCTTATTTTGCATATAAAATGCTGTGGAGAAAGCTTGAAATTACTTGCATACATTAAACTATGTTCATCAGCATTACCTTTAACAACATTAGTTTCATATAATTATTTGCATAATAAAGCATGGTTATATAAAAACATAAGCTTCAGAAGGTGGTTATCCAATGAAATTAGCTAGAAACCTTTTTACTTACCTATATCAGAACAGAAAAATAAGTGAAAACTAATCTCTATAAAGGCATAGGTTACTTTTAATGTTCAAGTATAAAGAGAACAATCCAAACTGGATTGCCACTGGAGTAGGAGGAAGAAAGTGTCCTGAATATTTAAAGGGGCTAAAAAAGATTAAATCGGTTATATGATAACTAATTTTAAAAGAACAATTAAGGAGAAGTTAAAAATAAATGGCTTAAATATATTTCTTTTAAAAAGTAAACTCATTTCTACATAAAACTTTTGAGAAGGAATCTACATAATACATAATCATTAAAGTGTATAATTTGGTGGTATTTAGTGTATTCACAATGTTGTGCACCATCAACTCGAATTTCAAAACTTTTTTCATTATCCTCCAAAACAATCATATGGTAACCTCTAATCTGCTCTTTGTTTCTATAGATTTGCCTATTATAAGCTATATAAATTACAGTATATGTATAATATATGTCCTTTTTGTGTCTAGCTCCTTTTGCTTAGCATAATATTTTCACAGTCAATCTAAGTTGCAACATATATCAGTACTTCCATTGTATCTATATATTCCCATAATTTGCTTATCCATTCTTTTACTGATGAACACTGAATTTCTACCTTTGATTATTATTAATAATGCTGCTATTAACATTTATGTTCAGTTTTGCTGTGAATATGTTTTCATTTGTCTTGGGTTTATATCTAGCAGTAGAATTGTCACATGATAATTCTGTATTTAACTTTTTGAGAAACTTCCAGACTTTTCCAAGTGGCTGAACTATTTTACATTCCCACCATCTATGTCTGAGGGCTACTCTTTCTCCAATTTGATTAGACTCATATTTCCTTTTTTAAAAATTAAGCCATTCTATTGGATATGAAGCAGTATCTCATTGTAGTCTTGATTTGTATATACATAACCATACTGTTGAACATCTTTTCCTGTGCTTGCTGGGCACTTGTATCGAGTACTTTATTTTTTAATTGGGTTGTCTTTTTGATCTTGAGTTGTAGGATGTCTTTATTCTGTATATTAAACCCTTATGAGAGATATGATTTGCAAGTATTTCATTCTGTTAGTTGCCTTTCACATTTTATAATGGTCCTTGATCGGCAAAAGTTTTTAATTTTTGTCTAGTCCAGTTTAACTAGTTTTTCTTTTGTTGCTCTACTTTTGGCATTAAAGCTAAGAATTCATTCCCAAATCCACCATCATGATTAATGCCTATGTTTTCTTCCAGATGTTTTATACTTTCCGTTGCTATACAGTGTTTAGATTGTTGACCGCTGAGCTATAATTTTCATGTTGGCTAGGAGTCTAGCTTCATCCCTTTGCATATAGTTAGCTAGATATCCCAGCATTACTTTTTGAAGATCTCATGCTTTCCTCACTGGATGGTCTTTTGAGCATAGGTGTTAGGGTCTATTTCTGTACTTTTGGTCTGATAGTCGTTTTTTTTGTTTGTTTTTTTTTGTTTTTTTCCCAATGGTGGAGATCAGACCCAGGGCATCAGTGCGTGCTAGGTAAGCACTATACCACTGAGCTATATCTCCAGACCTTTTTCTTCTATTTTGAGACAAGGTCTTACTAAGCTGTCCAGATTTGGACCCACAGCCCTCCTTCCTCAGCCTCCCCAGTACCTGGGATTACAGGTGTATAGTGCTCTACTTGTTAGTCCTGTTATAAGTTTTAAAATCAGGAACTCTTGAGTCCTACTTTGTTTTACTTTTCAATATTGTTTTGGCCATTCAGGGTTCCTTGCAGTTCCAGATGAACTTGAGGGTTGGTTTTTCCATTTTTGCCCCAAAAGTCATTAGAATTTTGATGGGATTGCACTGAATGTGTACACTGCTTTAAGACTGCCGTTTTAACAGTATTAAGCATTCCAATCCCTGACTATGGCATGTCCTTCCATTTATTTAGATCTTTAATTTGTTTCTTCAGTGTTTTGTAGTTTCCAGCGTACAAGTCTTTAATCTTTTTGGTTAAATTTATTCTTAGGTAGCTTGTTCATGTTGACACTACTGTAAATGGAATTTTCTTAATTTGTTTTCTGGATTTTTCATTAGTAGTGTAGAAACACATCTGATTTTGTACATTGACTCTGAAATTGTGCTGAATTTGTTTATTAGCTCTTGTAGTTTTTTGTGGATTCTGTGGGATTTTGCTATGTCTATAGAATTATGTTTTATGTAAATAAATATAGTTTTACTTCTTTCTTCCAAATCTGGATGACTTTTATTTATTTTTTATTGTCCAATTGCTATGGCTCGAACTATCACAATGTTGAATAGCAGTGGTGAAGACAAGTATTCTTGTTTTGTTCCCTTTAAAAGAATTATGCAAAGAACCCATGTGTACTTACTAGAATTATAAGGAATTTGTAAAATGATCCATTAATGTTCCTATCTTTCCATCCCTTGCACCAATAGTTTTTGCTCATTCTTTAGTTTTTCATGGTGCTTCCAACTCTCTAATAATCCTTAACCTAATCCCAGAAAAAAATATATTCAAGGAGTCTCTGTGGAGTATAAGTAAAGAGTTTTATTAAGAAGAGATGACCTATTGGTGTTACTGTCATTTTTGTGCTCAGCGACATGGGATTTATAGTACGAACAAGGACATAGAAAGTCAAAAATAAAAGTACAGAAATTGTTATTCAGAAAGTAGTACATATGAGCTATCTGAAAAGTATAATTTGTGTGTACTATTCAGAAATTGCTTTCTGACAGGAGAAATAGATTAGATTATGCTGTTAAACAGTGTAGTGATTAAGACTAGATGCTAGAGTAAGACTGGCTGTACTCAAAACCTAGCTCCACTACTTATTGATGGTAACACCTTAGACAAGCTACCTACTTTCTCTAAACTGTGGCATTTTTGCCTATAAGGCAAGGATATAGAGAGTATCTACTTAATCAGTTATTGCATGACAGTGCAATAATAGTAAATTTTTAATAAAAGCTTAGTTTGTCTTTTTTATAACTAAAATCTATCAGAAAAATAAAATATCTATTCTTTTATAGGGTTAAATTAAATTTTGATTTTAAAAGCCTATTGTCCTGGTCCCAAAAAGTTCCTTAAGGTAAATCAAGTTAACATTCATAGTTTTACATTTACTTGGCAATGTAGAGAAAGATGTGAACTTCTACAATACATTCCTTATACTCTGATTTCTCTTCAGATCGTATAAATCTTTTGCCTTGTACAATGCATTCCTTTCTAAGAGAATGTAATTGAATTTCATATTAAAGTTACATCCAGCTAGGAAAAAATATAATGAAGAATCTGTAGTCTACATAATTCATGTATTAAATATTTAGCTTTTTTCAAATAGTATTTTTATCAGGTTTTGATTGTAGCTGTATAGAAACACATTAAAAAGCTATCATTGTCTCACATGTGCCCTCATGCTAATGTGTCATTTATAAATAGTGGTATTGGATCATTAACATTTTTTCCCCCTCAGAGAGAGAAGAACATGAAACAGATTTACTGATGATTTTCTTTATATATTTATTTATTCTGTGCACTGTTCTTGAAAAGATGTAAGACTTTCCTTATTAGTTAATCTGATTTTATTACCAGTCACTTCAGTGAAAAAAGGCCAATCAAATCACATGCTTTCTTGATACTAGTAATTTGATTTTTTTTTTACAAATTCAATGTATTCATACATTTTGTAGGAGGTTACAGTATTTGAAAACACATTCTGTATTCATCCAGACTTTAAGAGGAACTGAATTGTGATCACCTCAAAATTGTTTGGCCCAGCCTGGTAACACTTACTGAACACTGAATGGATACCAGATACTGTCCTGATTAGATCTTTGGAAACACATAGGGAACTTTCAAAGGGTACTTCAGTGAAATAGTGTCACTGACACTAAAATGGTATTTCCTGGATTGTCTACATGGTGTAGTACTGTTTCTCAAGTTTTTCCCACAATACTTTGTATGGTGCCCTATACCTCCTCATAGACAGCTTCACATTATAATTATTTGTTTATAAAAATTACAGCTTTGTTAAAACATAAGTTCTAAGAATACAAGTGCATCTTACTCATTACAAAATCCTAAAATCTTAATAATGGTTGGCACTTAACAAGCATGCAATATATCTTTATAACATAACAGACTTTCTGAAATTACTCTGATGGCTGCTATGAGTCAATACACGCTTAAGATGTGGAGACATAGTCTAAACCCATTTCTTCTAAAAATTAGAAACTATCTTTCAAGTTACATGCTTTATTTACTTTTTAAATTTATGTGACTTTTAAATTCTCAGCAATTATTTGTCTCAATGTAGAGCTATTCTCAAAAAAGTTGATACTTCTGGAATATGTATCATGGTTTTTAAGGACACAACTGTGTGTAATATATAAATTTGGAAAGAGGAACTCTTCACATTCTGCCTTGATTTTTAGCTAATCTCTTAAACTTGAGTTAGCACCTGAAAAATGCAGCTAAGAAATTGCTTCAAAGGCTTTTTTAAAAAATTAGTACATGTTTGTAAAACATAAGGTGTACATTCCTTGTGTGGAGTTGGTGTACGTGCATAACACATCTTAATTCCTTTTCTCATCCCTTTTGGATCCCCTTTTCCTCCCATCCCTCCATCTCTTGATCTTTTTCCGTTTGAGATTCATCTTCTTGCTTCCTATTAGCTATCCTTTATTTTGGTCTTTATAACAGGTTTCTCATATAAGAGAATGCGATATTTAAGCTTATGTGTCTGATGTTTTTAACTTAACATTATGGCCTTAACATTATGATCTTAAGGTGCATCCATTTTCTTACAAATGACTCAAGTTTATCTTTCTTTATGGCAGAGTAGTGCTCCATTGTATATAAATACTACATTTTTTATATCCATTTATCTGTTAATGAACATATAGGCTGCTTCCAAGATTTAGCTAACAGCAAAATGAAAATTTATTTAAAGTACTTGGAATACATAATATACATTTAATTACTGGTTTGTCTTTTCTTACTAAAAAGCTTCCAGTTTTCCTTCCAAAAAATTTAATTTATACCTGATTTTTCCCATTAAGTATGTATAGACAAAAACTGTCCCCTAACAAAAAAAACATGTTCCAATATTTGAGACTGGATTGTGGCTGTCCATCTGAGGGGACAGAATTCTTTTACTGTGTGTAATGAATACCTCATAAATAAAAATTTTCTAGGCAGAACTTTTAACCAATGCTAATAATACCACAAAGAAAAATTAAAGTGAATTAACTTTTATTACTACTTGTTTAACACAGGTTTACTTGTTTAAGACAAGTAAGACTATGGAATCTGTGCTTTATTGCTCTGGATAGAAACTAGAAATGTAATAACACTGACATAATGTGTGGGAAATTAGGGATGGTTCTCTGGAATACATGAAGATCCTCAATGATTGTTGCAAGGGATCACAAAAGAGATCTTTGGTCCAAAGAACACGTCTCTGAAAGAAAGTAGAACGTCAGTTAAATTCAGCTTAAAGCTAAGATATATGTAAGTTTTTGAATATCAGCTAAAAATGGACAGTCATTCCCAGGATTTCAGATATGTATAACTATTCTTTTTAGGGGAATAAAGTACAAAGAAACGAGTGGGAAGACAAAGATCAAGAAGGTAATTGATTCTTCTACTTTCCCTCCAGTTGTCATTGATATACTGTCATTTGGCTCTTCAAAAAAAGGAAAGAAGGGTAATTTCAAAACTATAATTATATATAAAATTTCATTTTTCTGCTATCAGAATGGGTCATGGACTTTTAAATCCACAGGGAAGAAACATAAAATTAAACTGTTCTTAGAAAGTCATTAAATTTCTAGGTTTTATAGAGACAGAAAAATGTGAAAAAGTTACTTGATCCTAGTTATCTTCTAGTTATAAAGATCACATAAGGTAATGTATAAAAATGCATAGAATACTGTTATATAAATTGTACCTATGTGCAAGGTAGTGTTATGATTATGGCTTATTAGGAAAATACTTAGCAAAGTAATAAATCTCTTGCTACTGGAAAAATGGCATTTCAAAATCAAAGAGAAATTGCTTCTATATATCTACACTCCTGTTCAAATCCATGAACATAAATAATGACAAAATCAAATCATAAATCAAATACAAGTTCATTTCAGTAAATTGGTTTCAAGTAATACAATAAGAAAAAAGGAAGCACTATATTTTCATATTAGTTGACATTTCATTTATGTAGTACAGGAAAAGGTAAGTCATTTCATGGGATTAATTAACTCAAGTTGCTTGGTATAATTTAGTAAAATGATTTTCAAACTTTATTATGCATTGAAATCACCTGGAGGGTTTGTAAAAAACATATTTTCTGGATCCCACCTCCAGAATTTCTGGGGAGTATGGATGGGGGACCAAGGACAGATGTACATTTTTAAAGGAATTCAGGTAACGTTGAAGCTGATATTCTGGGAACCTCATTCTGAGAACCAACTGGCTTGGTAGAAAGAAATCTGGTTCAAGTTTGAATACCTGGGTTCGAGACTCAGTGTTGATGTTATCTAACTATGTGGGATAGTACTGTTCCTTTCAAGTCTCTCTACACCTTCCCTTGGTAAGGTAGTTATATCTGGCTTTCTTGCCTTACAGGTAGAAAATAAAATGGCACATATTGAAAGTAATTTGAAAAAGTTCATTTCAGTATGAAATATCCAAAATCATAATATTTGAAAGATTCCTCAATAACTAGAGGAAGATGATTTTAGAATGAAAAGCTAGATGTACTTACTGATTAATCTATCATTGTTTTATACTTAAGATATATCTACTTTCAAAAATATAATGTTTTAAATTTTTATTTAGTTCATTTCTGGCTAACTCATACATGGAACTAGGAAATTTTTCTTTGACCATCATTCAACATTTCTGTCTAGTTAATCACTTGATACAGTTCTCTAGGACTCTACCACCTGTCACATAAAACCTTAATTTTTAAATTGGTATAAGATGGCAACCTTGAGATTCATTTCTGCTACCAATAGATTTTTTTTTTTCTGGTACTGAACATTGAACTCAGGGGCTTCACATTTGAGCATTCTGACCACCCCACCCCCCTTTTTTTCTTTTAGCAGCTCTATTTTTTAAAATTCATTAATTCATTTTTTAAATTCATTAATTTTATTGGTACATTTTAGGTATACAATATGCTGATATTCATTATTGGCATACCTTTACATAATCTCTCTTGGTTCTTATTTTTCCCCCATTCCTCTGCCCTCCCTTCAACCCCTCCACCCCTCCCTATTTACAAAGACTGTTTCCATTTTTTCCTTTTCTCATATTTATTCCTTTCCCTTCTTTCCTTTTCCCTACCCCTCCCACTTCCCCTTCCCCTTTGGACATTTTCTTCCTATTTTACATCATCTATTATACATTTTGATCCTTATTTACACTTTCAGTTTCTTACACCAGAGAAACTATTCAATATTTACATGTGTGTCCTATTTATTTCACTTAAGAGTATCACCTCAGTGTGCATCCATTTAGCTATAAATGTCTGTAGTTTCTCATTCTTTACAGCTGAATAGTACTCCATTTTATTATTTTTTAAACATATTTTCTTTATCCAGTCTCCAGTTGATGGGTAATTGAACTGTTTCCAAGTTTAAGCTATTACAAACTGTGCCATTATGAACATTTTTCAATTTTGACACGGAATTGCACTTAAGGTGCTCAGTCTGATTTTGAACTTGCAATCCTCCTGTCTCAGCCTCCTGGAGTGCTGGGATTATAGGCATATGCCAGCATACCCAGCTCCAATAGGTCTTTTAATAATAAATGGTGAAAATCAGATGAGAATTTGGAATTCAGTAGATTGATGTGTTAAATTTTTTCTGATTTTCATTTAGTTTTATTAAATTGCCAAACTCCATTTCTTAAGCAAAAATATTCAAATCCTCACACAGTGGTGGTTCTAGAAAACAGCTGGGATTTGGACAGGATTTACTGAGAAAGATGGTTTCAGCAAACGAATTTTGAGGGGGATGTCTTTAAAAGACTTGTTCTGCATATATTTCTTAGCAACACATTTTATGATTTCATTTTCTTACCTTGGGCAACAGAGCAATTCACTGAAATTGCAGTAACAGATCATCTCACATGCCTTCCCTTCCCAGAAGTGATCCGGGACATTGACATCAACCTGTGTCAGGTCAGCCACTCCCTCTGGAAGGTTGTGACAGTTCCGATCTTTTAGGATTTTTCTGTAGCAAGACAGGCGATTTGAAGGCATGGCATGGACTCCTAGCAGCAAAGTTAGCCCAGCAGTGACAAGTATCATAAATTTCATTTTGGTTTTTGGCCCTGAGACAAAAGAAAAAGGAGAATGTGTCAATCCTTGTTTTGTAAAAGATGGAATTCACGTGCACATAAAATTCTATAACATTTCCCTAAACTCTTGGAAGTTGGTCTTTTCTGTGCTCCTCTCTGTGTTTCTCCAAGTATTGTTTTCTGACTATCTACAATAAAAATTACTTAGAATATTTGTTAAAAATCAAATACTTGAGAGTCCATAAAAAAATCAAATGAGAAATGCAGAGAGAGGAAAGGATAGTGATGAGAGAATCTGCATGTAATAAGGTACTCAGGGCCATTTTGTGAGTGTGTCTCTGTATATGTGTATGTGCATCTGTGTGTGTGCACACGCACACGTCTTCAGTAGAGAACAACTGCTTTTAAAACGTATACACTCAAGTAAATTAATAGAACAAATGACATCATCAGTACAGTGAATCTTGGGGCTCAGAGTATGGTAGAGCAATCACCTGGCATGTGTGGGAACCTGGGTTTGATTTCCAACACTGCAAAACAACAGACAAAAAAAGAAACAATGAATCTTCTTTACCTTGAATATCTTAATTCTTAACAATAACATTGTCAAAGAACCTAGCTCCCATCCCGACAGAAATGAAAAATTAATATTAATAGATGATACTCTATAGATATATTTATACTTTGGATAAGTTTTTTAAATCTTCCAGAATTACTTTTAGGGCTTATTTGTGTTAAAAAATACTTATTAATGTTTTAGTTTTTATCTATATAGACTGTATCGTCTTAGCTACAGTTAAAAAACAGCAGCTTGAATTCCTCCTTCTAATCATACTAGTGATGGTGAACCTTTTAGAGCTTTCAATGATCCAAACAGCCCGCTGCAACACACGTACCATAGGCCCACCACCACTGATACTTGCTGACATGGAGTAGTCAATCCTGATTAAGTCAACATTCCACTGATATTTTGGTTATTATAAACTATTTTTCTGTAGCTTTTACCCATCAGTCCTAGTATGAACACTTGGGGTCATACTAAACAAGTCTAATTCCTCTTCTAGGAGATATTTAAGTATAGCTTTTGCATCTAACTACAGAATATCCATCTTCTATGTAATCAGCCTCCTCTGGCTTCTATATTAGACATCAAGAAAATGAAGGATATTTTAGCAAAGGAAGAATAGCAAAGAATCCAAAGCCATTCAGATTTCATCTTGTTGACAATGTATCTTTCCTAGCATGGAAAGAGCAAAGTGAAGATAAATGATACATGTCATTGTATATTGCACTTTGAAAGAAAGCACTGTTGAAAAAAAATTTTAGTATGGAATTTTTAGTGATTAGACATATATTAATGGTAAAGCATTTTAAGTAAGACGCTGGATTTTTTTATAAATACATTCACTATTTTCTCTAAGTTTAGAGAATAAAAATATTCTATTAAAATCCTGAGAATTTTAGCTTTTCTTCAACTTCACATTCTGAGCCAGTCATTTTTGCCTTGCTTAAATATTCATAGAATTATAAATAACCAATTTAATTTCTACCTCCAAATATTAGTGAGAAGACAAAAATGAGATTTGTTTCATTGTATATGTTTTTTTAATGGAGCAAGACATTACAGTATTATAGTGCATCGCAATCCAGCACACATACAGGCACACTTTTGGTAGGCTTTTGCAGAAAATAGTTTAAATTTCATATTTTAAAATATAATTCCACCTTTTGATTACTTCAGATTAGGATCTTTCTTAATACCAATAAGATATACAATGTGAAAAAGCTGTATTTCTTGAGTTTTTTCAGTTTAATCTTCAAGGAGGGTAGTTAAAGCTACTATGTATTGAGTATTTACTGTATGGCAGGAATCACCACAACCATTAAACTTTAAAAAAATATTTTGGTATACAGCTAAACCCCACTATACAAGCAAAAATTTTACTAGCTTTATTAACATTGACGTACGATAAACTGCAGATACACAGTTTGAAAAGTTCTGATAGTAAACATACTTATCACCCCTAAAATTCCTCATACTCTTTTTGTAATATCACCCTCCCTGTCCCTCATCTTATATAGGCAATTACTGATCTGCTTTCTGAAGCCAAAGGCTAATTTTCATATTTTAGAATTTCACATAAGTGCAATCATAAAATATGTACTCTATGTGACTTATTACATTCATCTTACTAATCTTGAAATTCATATACATTGTATGTATCAAAAGCTGATTCCTTTTTATTGTTGAGACATGTTCTTATGTATACACTATAAATTGTCTTTCCATCCAACTGTCAGTGAACATTTGTTTTCAGTTTGGGGCTATCATACATAAAATTTTTGTTGACACTTGTGTATAAGTCTTTGAAGGATCATTACATTCATTACTCTTGAGTGAATACTTAAGTGAGGAATACAGGCATTCCTTATTTAATACTGAGCTATGTTCCTTTGACTAGGTCATTAATTGAATTGGTCGCTAAATGAGGAATTGTATATAGGATATTACAATATTCAGAACAAAGTAATAGTCAAAGGAAATTCCAATTTGATGACTTTGCTTTTATTTGCATAACTGTTACATGAACTGCTGTAATGTATAACAGAACATAGAACATTGTACTGTACTGTTTGGTACAACCAGCAAACATTACAGTACTATATAAACAAAGTATACTGTACAAACAAAGACATCAAGGTTCTATAAACAAGCTGTATAGAACTATATGAAAAAGACCATATTAATTAATTATTGTATATAGTGCATTATATGGTTTGAAGATCATTTTGGGTTTTTTCTATGTGTTTTCCAGTAATTTTAGCACCATATTAAAAAGACTGTTATTTGTACATTTAATACCTTTGCTTTTGTCAGACAACTGTTTTCAGTAGAGGTGTGGGTCTGCTATATTCTCCATTTTCCCCCATTGATCTAGTTGTCTATCTTTGTGCCAAAATTAGTTTCTAGATCATAATTATTAACACAAATTATTGTACAAATTAATGTTTCAATTTCATTCTTTTGCATTTGGACATCCAGTTTTCTTAGCATGATTTATTGATGAGACTGTCCCTTCCTTATTCCATAATCTTGGCAATTTTGCTGAATATATATATATATATATAATATATATATATATATTAAACTGCCTTTCTATTCTATTCCATGAGTCTATTTGTCTGTCTTCATGCAAGTACCATATAGTTTTTAATTACCAAGGCTTAGTTATATTTTTGAAGTCAGAAATAGTGATGCCTCCAGTTTTGTTCTTTTCAATATTGTTTTGGTTATTTTCTTTTGTGGTTTTGTATGAATTTTAGAATTTTTCCTATTTTTATAAAAAAAAGTCATTGAGATTTTGATAGATTGTATTGAATCTGTGAAGCACTTTTAGTAGTATGTATATTTTAAAAATAGTAAGTGATCTAATCCATGAACACAAGATATCTTTGCATTTGTGTTTCTTTCATTTCTTTCATTAATGTTTTTAGTATTCATTTTGTTGGTCATTGACTTCCTTAGTATATTAAGTATTTTATCATTTTGATGCTATTATAAATGGGATTGCTGTCCTAATTTCCTTTTACAGATTTTTTTATTAGTGTATAGAAATACAACTTGTATCCTGCAAATGTACTTAATTCTATATTAGTCAATTTTCTCCTCTCTGGGATAAAATACTCAGCACTCACAACTTAAAGGAGGTATTGTTTCTTTGGGCTCATGATTTTTAGAGGTTTCAGTCCGTAGTCAGCTGGCTCCCGGGGCCTAGTGGAAGAGTCTGGGCAGAGGATAGCAGCCCATATCATGGTGACCAGGAAGCAGAGACAAAAGGGAGGAGCTGGGACGAAAGATACTCATTTCCAGGTCACGTCTCAGTGACCTACCTCTAGCTAGACCCCGCCTTCTGAGAGCAACTCAGCTATAGCGCTCCTGTGATTCAATCACCGTCCAAAAGCCTCATCTCTGATTACATGAGAGTTTTGGCATCATTCTTGACATAAACCATAAAAAATTAATGTATTAGTCCTAACAGGTATTTTTAGTTAGATCTTTAGGGTTTTTACATATAAGATCTGCAAAAATGTACAATTTTACTTTCTTTCCAATTTGAATGACTTATTTCTTTGTCTCATTTAATTTCTCTGGCTAGAATTTACAGTACTATGTTAAATAGAAATGAAGAGAGTAGGCATTTTCTTTAGTTTGTGATCATAGTAGGAAAGCATTCTTTTTTTTTTTTAGCATGAAATATGACATTAGCTGTAAGGTTGGTATTTATTATGCTCAGGTAAATTTTTCCTAGATCTACACTGTTGAGAGTTTTTATCAGGAAAGCATGTTCATTTTGTCAAATAATTTTTCTATTTTTAAATTTTTATTTTTATTAGTAATGACTGTAGTACATAGTAATTATATTCATTGTGGGGAGCTGTACATATACACAATATATCTTAATTATTTTTTCATTACCCCCTTTTGTTGGCCTCCTTCCCATTGAAAAGACCTCTTTCCCTGTTTCCTATTATCTTTTATTTTGCTCTTTAATTTATTTATACTTTGGTTTTTCTCATATAAAAGAAACCATGCATATTTAAGCTGTGTGTCTGATTTATTTCATTTAACATTATGGTGTCAAGGTGCATCCATTTTCCCACAAATGATTCTATTTTATCTTATTTCTGTCATTTCATTCTTCTGTTGTTGACTCTTATTATTTTCTTTTCTGTCATTACATTCTTTTTCTGTTGTTGGCTCCTTCATTTTCTTTTTGTTTAACTACTTGCCTTGATTGATGAATTGATTCCGCCTGACTTTTTCATTTTTTGGCTTTGTTGCCTCTGTCTATAGTACTCTTGAGTATTTTTTAAAGAGCTGGTTTGGTGTTTATGAATTTCCTAAGGTGTTCTTTGTCATGAAATGTCCTTATTTTTCCATCAGTTTTGAAAGATTTTTTTTTATTTTTTGAGACAGCGTCTCGCTTTGTAGCTCAGGCTGACCCTGAACTCACTATGTAGCCCAGGCTAGC